CCTTGCCGGCCTGATTGCCCCCAATTGCCCCCCTGGCAGCCTGCTCACCCCCAACTGCCCTCCCCTTCTGGCCTGATCACCCCTAACCACCTCTGCCTCAGCCCTACCACCATGGCTTTGTCCGGAAAGACGTTCGGAAGGTCTCCCGGTCTAATTAGCATATTACCCTTTTATTAGTATAGATACCCAAAATGTGTAAGTTTAAATAAAAAATCACTCATACCAAAACCAGAAGGATGTCAAAGTAAATGAAAAAGGATAATCAATAGATGCCAATACTAAGATGACAGAATGTCAAAATTATCTGACAAAGACCTGGGAGCAGCCATCATTAAAATGCTTCCTTCATTAGCAATTAAGGACATGTTTGAAAAAACTGAAAAAAAAAAATAGAACATCTTGACAAAGAAACAGAAAGTATTAGTAAAAAAAAATTGAAGATATAAAGAATCAAATAGAAATGGTAAAACAAAAAATAACACACAAAAAACTCAGTAAATGAACTCAAGAGCAGGATGTAAGAAAATAGGGAAAAGAATCTTTAAGCTAAAAGATAGAATAGAAACTGTCTAATCTAAACACCAGAGAGAAAATAAACTGTAAAAAATGAACAGAGCCTTGAGGATCTGTGGAACTACACCAAAAGATCTAACATTTGTTATTAAGTATCAGAAAGAAAGAAGAAAGAGGGCAGGAATAAAAAAGTACTCATTAAAATAATGGTTACAACTTCCCAAATTAGGCAAAAGAAATAAATCTACATATTCAAAATGTTAGTGAACCCCAAAAAGAGTAAATTCAATGGAGAAAATAATAAAATACATGAAACCAAGAGCTGTTTTTTTTTAAAGGGTCAATAAAACTGTTAAAACTCTAGCCAGGCTAATCAAGAAAAAAGAGAGAAGATATAAATTATTAATATGAGAAGTGAAAGGGAGCCATCACAACTCATTCCATGGACATTAAACGAATACTCTATGCCCACCAATTTGGTAACTTAGATTAACGGACCAATTAATTGAAAGACAATCTATCAAAACTCACTGTAGGAGAAACAGATAATGAATATATTTTTAGAACAATAATTAATAATCTTCCCAAACAGAAAGCACAGGTCCAGAAAGTGTCACTAGTGAATTTTAGAAAATATTTAAGTAATAATGCTAGTTCTTTAAAATCTTATCCAAAACATAAAAGAACTTCCTAATTCATTCGATGAGGACCAGCAACACCCAATACCAAAGCCAGACAAAGACATGACTAGAAAGGAAAATTATAGATCAATATCTCACATGTAAGTCCTTCAACAAAATTATAGTAAATTAAATCCAACAATGTATAAGAATTATACACCACAGTCTGGCTGGCATGGCTCAGTGGCTGAGCATTGACCTATGACCTGGAGGTCATGGTTTGAGTCTTAGGGCATAAGCCCAGGTTGCAGGCTCAACCCCCAGTGTGGGGCATGCAGGAGGCAGCCAATCAATGATTCTCTCTCATCATTGATGTTTCTATCTCTCCCTCCCTCTCCCTTCCTCTCTGAAATCAATAGAAAAAATTTTTAAAAAGAGTTATATACCATGGGCAAATGGAATTTATTCTAGGTATGCAAGGGAGGTTTGACATTCAATAATCAATTAATGGCATTTACCACATGAACCTGGCTAAAGAAGAAAAATCATATAATCATATCAATAGATGCTGAAACAATATTTGACAAATATCAACACCCATTTGTAATACAGACTCTCAGCAAACTAGGCATAAAAGAGAACTTCCTCAACTTGGTAAAGAACATTTGCCAAAAACCTACAGCTAACATCATACTTATAGTGAGAAACCAGATGCTTTCTCTTTAAGTTGGAGAACAAGACAAGGATGTCCTCTTTCATCACTCCATTAAGTACTAGAAGTACTAGTTATGCAACAAGGCAAGAAAAGTAAATAAAAGCTATACAGATTAGGAAAGAAAAAATGAAATCACCTTTGCTTACAGGTGATGTGATTGTCTATGCAGAAAAATTCCACAAAATCAAGCTCCCACCTTCCAAAAATATATTTTAAAAAAACCTCCTGGAACTTATTAGGTATTGTGGCAAGTTTGCATGATACAAGGTTAATACATAAAAGTCAATTGCTTTTTTTGTCAACTGCTTTCTTATATAATAGCAAGAAACAATTAGAATTTGAAATTAAAAAACACAACAGCAGTTACATTAGCATAAAAAATGAAATACTTAGGTACAAACCTAAAAAAATGTACAAAATCTATCTAAAGAAAACTATAAAAGTCTGATAAAAGAAATCAAAGAGATTCAAATAAATCGAGAGATGTCCATGTTCATGAATAGGAAACAGCATTATTAAGATGTCAAATTTTCCCAATTTGATCTATACATTCAGTGAAATCCTAGCAAATTATTTTGTGGATATCAACAAACTGATGATAAAGTTTATATAGAAAGGCAAAAAACAGAATAGCCAACTCAATACTGAAGGAGAAAAATAAAGTTGGAAGACTGACACTATTCAATGTCAAGACATTGGATAAAGCTACAGTAATAAAGACAGTGTTATATAGACAAAAATAAATCAATGAAATGGAATAGAGAGTCCAGAAATAGGCACACACAAAATACAGTGGGGCCTTGACTTACAAGTGTCCCGACTAACGAGTTTTTTGAGATACCAGCTGTCTCTTGGCCAATTTTTTGCATTGAGTTGACAGAGTAATTTGAGTTAACGAGCTCCTTAACGAGCTCGGTCTCAGAATGAATTAAACTTGTAAGTCAAGGCCCCACTGTATAGTCAACTAAT